TCTGTCTGTCTGTCTGTCCGCCCACCTATCCATCCATCTTTATCCATCTGTCTGTCTGTGTATTTTCTATCTATCTATCTATCTATCTATCTATCTGTCTGTCTGTCTGTCTGTCTGTCTGTATATTTGTTTGTCTGTCTGTCTGTCTGTCTGTCTGTCTCTCTATGTGTCTGTTTGTGTTATATACCTATACATCCATCTATATCCATCTGTCTATCTGTGTCTGTCTGTTTGTCTGTCTGTCTATCCACCCACCTATCCCTCCATCTATATCCATCTGTATATCGATCTGTCTGTCTGTCTGTCTGTCTGTATATTTGTTTGTCTGTCTGTCTGTCTGTCTGTCTATCTATGTGTCTGTCAGTCTGTCTGTTTGTCTGTCTGTCTGTCTGTCTGTCTGTCTCTCTATGTGTCTGTTTGTGTTATATACCTATACATCCATCTATATCCATCTGTCTATCTATGTGTCTGTCTGTCTGTCTGTCTGTTTGTCTGTCTGTCTATCCACCCACCTATCCCTCCATCTATATCCATCTGTATATCGATCTGTCTGTCTGTCTGTCTATCTATGTGTCTGTCAGTCTGTCTGTTTGTCTGTCTGTTTGTCTGTCTGTCTATCCACCCACCTATCCCTCCATCTATATCCATCTGTATATCTATGTGTCTGTCTGTCTGTCTGTGTCTGTCTGTATATTTGTTTGTCTGTCTGTCTGTCTGTCTCTCTATGTGTCTGTGTTATATACCTATACATCCATCTATATCCATCTGTCTATCTATGTGTCTGTCTGTCTGTCTGTCTGTTTGTCTGTCTGTCTATCCACCCACCTATCCCTCCATCTATATCCATCTGTCTATCTATGTGTCTGTCTGTCTGTCTGTCTGTCTGTCTGTCTGTCTGTTTGTCTGTCTATCTATCCACCCACCTATCTATCCATCTATATCCATCTGTATATCGATGGGTCTGTCTGTCTGTATATCTATCCACCTATCTATCCATCCCACTGTTCTCCAGCAGTTGTTGATAAGCTGTTGTGTTGTTGTTCAGACACAGCTGCGGAATCAGCTGATCCAGGAGCTGCAGGCGCCGGTGCGCAGAGGAGAATCTGCTTCCAGACGCTCTGCAGATCACACTGACTCTGTGTTAGTCTCTGCATGCAACAGTGTGGTGGTCGATCACCTGCGCAGCGCTGGCTATGAGTACACACTGTCTGTCTTCCAGCCCGAATGCGGACTGAGCAAAGACAAGGTGAATTCACATCACTGCATCAACATGGTTGCAAAGAGAAGCAATTTTACTTCACGCAGTTTCTGCAACTTGGGGATGTGCAATATAATTATGTATAGTTGAAGTCAGAATTGTTCATGTTAAACTTTAATTCTTTTATCATTTCCAATATCTGTGTAACGGAGAGCAGATTTCTTCAACACACTCCTAATCATATTAGTTTTAATAGCTCATTTTTAATAACTAATTTCTTTTATCTTTGCACATAATATTAGACTAGATATTCTCCAAGACACTAGTATTCAGCTTAAAGTGACGTTTAAAGGTTTAACTAGAGTAATTAGGGTAATGTTAGGGTAATTAGGCAATTCATTGTATAACAGTGGTTTATTCTGTAGACAATCCAAAACTAATATTGCGTAATAATATTGACCTTAAAATGGCTTTAAAATAATTAAAACTGCTTTTATTCTAGCTGAAATAAAACAAATAAGACTTTCTCCAGAAGAATAAATACTACAGGAAATACTGTGAACATTTTCTGAATCTGTTCAACATCTTTTGGGAAATATTGCAAAGAGTCCTGTTCAAGATAACTGCAATTTGAAGTTGCAGTTGTGTTTTATGCATTCCTCACAGTGTGAGTGTTATTGAAGAAAAATGCTCATGAATGATTATTTTTTGGAATATAACATTTGACTGACATTATGAGTGAAGCAGACAATAAAAATGTTTTGTTTTTTTTTGCTTGAATTGAAGGTGTTATCAAGTCGTGATGTTCTGCAGATCATGAAAATCAGCCCTCATATGCCCTTATACAAATCTCTGGTGAGAACATTTATGCTCCTGTGTGTAGAAAAGCCATTCAGTTATTCATTTTTGTTGCTTTGGTGTAATACACATCTCTGTTTTTGTATATTTCGACAGGTTTCAAATATCCAGAGTGGACAGTCAGGTAGGGTAAATCTTTTTGTATTATTGTCTAAACCAGTGGTTCTCAACTTGTTTGGCCATGGCACCCACATTTTTACATGGTCATCAACCCACGGCCCAAATTTTTAGGACTATAATATTATTTAAGGAATTATAATTAATTTGTATTTATTTATTATAATACACAAGTAGTGACCGATAAATCTTAAGAAAATCACCAAGACTTGCAAATAAACAATATTTTATTATTGTCATTTAACAAAATGTCTCAAATTATAAAAATATTACAAAGTAAAAACGACAAATGTTTGGTTTCTAAAAGTGCTCATGTGAGAGCACATCACTACATATGACACACTGAGGTTTTAAGCCTTTTTTTGTCACCAATATATGTAAATCCATACTTTACATATTCGGGGTCGTACTTGCGCTTTGGCATATTTGTTGCTATGTGAAATTTAATTTAATTATGTCAACCGGTACAGTTGTCGCGCATTTCAAAATAAAAATAAAAGTCTTATTTAAGCAAAATAGGTTAAAAATTAAACATTGACCCAGTAGTTGAGAAACACTGGTCTAAACTGAGCTCTGTAGTTTAAGGGTGTACTCACACTAGACACAGGTGTCTTTAGCCGTGTGCTGGCTCGATTGTCCCACATACCCTCTTGGTTTGCACTCACAGATCCAGCACTTTTGACTCTCATAAATTACCATAAGATTCCTCGTGCTGCAGGAGATTTGCTGCAGCTGTCGTGCAGTGGGGGGGGGGGGTGTCTTTAATAAACTGTGGCAGTTCATGTTCACTGAACAGTAAGAATTATTAATAAATCCATATCAAACAGTCCCTTAAAAGTGACCTCTAGTCTTCTGTTTCGGGTTCAGGCGTGCTTTGCACTCACACTACAAGCGTACTGTGCCAAAGCCCAATCAAACCATGCTCTGGTACACCTCCTCCAGCCTGGCCAGAACCTGCCAACTTAACTGTGCCTGGGCCTGATTCAGAGCACTCACACTTGTCAAATTACCCAGGAAATGAGGGTCAAACATGGCTTGGCACGGTTTGGATAGTCTTGTGCAGAGGTGGGCAAACTACGGCCCACGGGCCATATGTGGCCCACTGAACACTTTCATCCGGCCTGCGAGGGAGTTTTTAAATGCGGTTTCTGAGTAACGGTTTGGTTCAGAATTAGTAAATTAATGATGCAATACAAGTGAATGCCATGTGATGGCAGTATTGCACACGGTACAGTTAAAGCAACCAGTAGAATTACAACACACTCTCGGATATTAAAATGCACTTGACCGTTAATGACTGAAAATGAGTCAGGCAAAAAAAAAAAAAATTGACTCTGAATGTGGTGTGTTTAAGGAAAAATGGAAAATAAAATACTTCTTCACCAATATTGGACAGAAAGCGGTATGTCTAATGTGCCTAGAAAGTACTGCTGTTTTTAAAGACTACAACCTAAGGGGCTGATCACACCGAACGCGCTTTATGCGGTAAGAGGCGTCTCTTTTGAATGGTTTACTAACAGCCACAAGGGTTTTGCATGCTGCTTATGCGCCCTACACACCTCGCGTTTTAACCGCCTGCTGCGCCTCGCATTTTTGCTGTAGCAGACTCCAGACTTTGACACCCTTGCGAAGAGAGGGGACCAGGCTCATTGTTCAGCTCATTGTTAACACACTCATGACCTGGAATAACGAAAGACTAAGATTCTTCTTTCGTTTTTATCTCACAGTTTTATGATGGTTGATATGAGCACATTAATACAAGCTCAAATGAGATTGTTGTTAATTTGACTTAAATTATATAATAATTGCTGGTTAAATGTGTTCATTTTTTTGTCGTAGAATATATTTCGCTCACTGAGCAGTATAGAGTCCCCGTCACTATAATGGGGCATTATGACCCACACAGACCACAGGTTAAGCGCCCCCTGCTGGCATCACTAACACCACTTCCGGCAGCAACCCAGCTTTCCCATGTGGTCTCCCATCCAGGGACTGACCGGGCGCAGCCCTGCTTAGCTTCAGTGGGCGACCATGCGTCTATTATTATTTATTATTATTATTTTTATTATTTATAAGGGATTATTTTATTGTTTTATGATGATTGATAAGTAAAAATAAATAGCAGTGCAAAATAATTTGACTTGTAAATATATTATAAATATTATAAATACTTGTAAATAATATTTTAAAAATCTGTTTTGTGTTAATGTGACATGTTTCTGTCCGATATCACGTTTCATGCACACTGCCACTAATAATAAAAGTTATTTTTGAAGGATTTGACGCGTGGCCCTTCACTTGGTTTGCAAAACTTGATGTGGTCTACGGGTCTTAAAAGTTTGCCCACCACTGGTCTAGTGTGAGAAAACCCTAAATATTGCAATAGAATGAGTTGATGGATACATGCAAAAAAAAAAAACATGCGTGTTTGATTAGTTTTCTTTGATTAGATCTCACCTTGTAAATGTTGTATAGTCGATGGACAAAATCAATGATCTAAAAGGATGAAATCTTGCTTCATGTCTAAAATGATTAAGTTTTTTTGTGGACATTATTATATTTATATTATTATATTTATTATATTTATTTTTATATCAGATTTCTGGTTTTCCTCTGATGGTAAACACCCACTTCTGATAATTCACTCTCTTCCACTCTCATTTCACTTTCTAGTAAATAAAATGCCATCTTATATCCAGATTCTCAGTGCTTATCCATCAGAGAACGGCAGTAAATATATTGTGAATAATGTCTATTAACATGTATTTACCCTCACCAAATGTGCTGTCTGTAATAAACCTCATGATGAACATGGTTTACTCTGCAGGTTTTCTGAAGAGTCTGTTGATGGAGCTGACGGACCACAGTGTTTACAGAGACTGCAGTGATAATTCAACTCAAACCACCTCTATAGCAGCGCATAAGGAGTCTCTGGGTGAGCCTGTATAGTCTTACACTGAATTTGCAAATTAATTAAAGTCAGGTTGAGCTTTGTCATTTCGCAGTGGAACAAAATGTCATGAGTATATAATCATAAATATAAACACAACATTGAATGCAAGAGCCATTTTTAAACACACACACACACACATATATATATAATATATATATATAAATACATATATATATATATAATATATATAAATAAATATAAATATATATATATATTGCAATGTCAGATTTGAATACATTTGTAATTCCAGATGCCAGCCTTTGCATTGTGTGAGTTTTGTATGTGTGTTGCAGTAGAGAAGATGCAGCTGATTGATGAGGAGTATGAAGTGCTGCGGCACAGAGGCGACCGCTGGGCTTCAGTGGAAGCCAAACTGGCTGAATACAGGAAAGAGATCCAGGAACAAGCACAGATCGAGCTCAACGCAAAGGTTTGGCTCCTTTATTATTCATTATTACACAGCTGTATGGGATACTTGTTTCTGATTGGTCAGTTGGAATATTTAAGGTAAGTTTTTCCCAATTAACAACCGCTAAATAACATGGACTCATTCGGGAATTGAGAATCATCTTGAGAATCATCTCAATTGTATGAACTAAACTGGATGTAGTGTATGATTGTGTGTGTGTTCGTGTGAGTGTTAATGGGTGTTTCCCAGTACTGGGTTGCAGCTGGAAGGGTGTCTGCTGTGTAAAACATGCTGGAATAGTTGGCGGTTCATTCCGCTGTGGCGACCCTTGATAATTAAGAGACTAAGCTAAAGGAAAAGGTAGGAAAGTTGAACAATTTCAAATTTTTAGTGAACAATTTTCAGGAAAGTTGCCTGGATTTTCAAATAGTTGTTTCTCAGTCAAATATTGTCTATCGTACCAAATCAAACATCAATGAAAAGATTGTTTATCAATCTCAATTTCGCTAAAAAAGACCCTTATGCCAGGTTTGATTGATTGTTTGATCGATTGGTTTAGCGATCATTTGTGATGAGAATTTTGTGGATGCTCACATTTCCATGCTGATACTGAAACAATATAAAGCGCAGCTCTTGTTTGCTTTACAATACTGCTGATTATAATCTCAAAATAACCTTTCATCGTCTTCTTTCAGCTCCAGCACTTCATGGATGTGGAGATAGCGAAGGTAAAGCAGGAGGAGAAAGAAAGATCGAGGAAAGAAATCCTGGAGCTCAGACGAGACATGGAGAAAACATATGAGCTGAAGTCTGAAGCTCTGATCAGTCGAGAGAAAAACGCCATCGAGCGCTTGCAGAAACACCAGGAGGTATTAAACAAGCACGCGGACACTTCACTTTATTTAGGTGTTCATAAGACCGTCAGGATTTTATGCATGCTCATGACAAGTGTTATTAGGTATATTTCACTCAGTTATGACTTTTTAAATGCAAAGATGACATTGTTTGTTTTGACAACCTGACATAAACAAATACTTTAGATTTGCCATGATTACTTGACATTACCAAGACAACTGTCATAAATCTGTCATAAACATGACTGTAATGAGGTATTATAATTGTCATGAATATGTTACTGATCAGGGCGAAGCAGTGGCTCAGTAGGTAGTGCTGTCGCCTCACAGCAAGCAGGTCGCTGGTTCGAGCCTTGGCTTAGTTGGTGTTTCTGTGTGGAGTTTGCATGTTCTCCTTGCATTCGCGTGGGTTTCTTCTGGGTGCTCCGGTTTCCCCCACAGTCCAAAGACATGCGGTACAGGTGAATTGGGTATGGTAAATTGTCTGTAGTGTGTGAATGTGTGTGTGGATGTTTCCCAGAGATGGGTTGCAGCTGGAAGGGCATCTGCTGCGTAAAAACTTGCTGGATAAGTTGGCGGTTCATTCCGCTGTGGCGACCCCTGATTAATAAAGCAACTAAGCCGACAAGAAAATGAATGAATGAATGAATGTTTCTGATCTTGTTTTCGGTGTATTTGTAAATAAAATGTCTCATTCAATGCCTCATTACTCTGTTAAATCATGTTAAACAGAGTCAGTATGTAAATAGGGACTGAGCACTGAAACGATGCGTAGGCCCTATCGGAATCCATTTGTTATTATTATTATTATTATTATTATTATTATTCCGCTTCTCCGGAATGAATAGTGATTTTGAGGGTCTAAACATTCCTGAAAACTCACAAAACTTTGCACACGCCCCAGAAGTGGCGAAAATTTACATTTGTTATAGCTTAAGAAACTGCGCATGGCAAAATGACTCTACAGTGCCACTTATGCACATTTGACAGACTAGCCCCCGAGCTACGAGTCACGCGCACATACGAAAATTGGCACATGCCTCAAACATGCCAAAACCTAAAAAAAGGTCTCTTGGAGCGATATCTCAAACTCAACAGGAAGTCAGATATTTTTAACTTAATGTGCTAAAAAAAATGGCGTTTTTGCCATTTCCAGGCGTTGTATTTTTAACAAACTCCTCCTAGAGATTTTATCCGATCGACACCAAAATTGGGTTTTGTCACCTAAAGGCCAAATTTTATCTGATCACCACCAAATTTGGGTGGTGTTATCTGAAAGCTCTAGCGATGAGATAATATATATATATTGTGAAGATCTAGAGTTTTTCACAGAGGGGCGTGTCCGTGGTAAGCCCGAGTGCGAGGTCCCTTTCATCGCTGCTTGCAGCTTTATTTGTAGTTTCATTCACTTGTTATTTTTGTTGTTCCTCTTTGCATAATTGTATGCACTGAGATGATATGAAGGTATAATGCTATTATTGTGAAGTACAGTATATAATTACATGCATATGTACAATAACTCATTTTTTTATTGTTACGATTTTTTTCTTTTTTTATTAATTTGCATTATTTAAATTGTATTTAACACTAAATTAAAATAAAAGTTATAAAAAAGTCATGACTGAGCAAATGATGCATAATGATAGTTGTTATAAGCGTGCATAAAATCTCTTCCATATTATAAAGGTTTCACAACAGTCTTATGAACACCTCTCTCAAGTAAATTATGGAAATACACAGCAGTTGTCATAGCTGTAATATTCCCCTGATCCAGATTGAAGAAAAGGACATTTATGCTCAAAGACAAGCCGTGCTGAGGGAAATCGAGTCTGTGCGGAGCCGAGAGATGGAGCTGAGGCAGAGGATGGAGGCCTTTGACAAGTGAGGAAGACGAGTAACTTTAGTCATGAAAACTAAAACTATTGGTGAACATTTTTGTTAATAAAATAAGAATAGATATTAAAAAAAAATTGAATTTATGATTCTTTTTTTTTAAACTAAAGCAAGATAAAACATTAAGAAATAATGGAAACCATCAGGAGTCACTGAAAAACCCACTGAAATTAAATACTAATAGTTTTCAGAATTAATAAGCAAGAGTTTAGGTAATGTAATATAATGTCTGCTGTTTTGTTGTGCTGATGCAGGAGCTGTGCACTGCACGAGGAGAAGGTGAAGACCATGGAGGATCTCCTACGGAGGAGAGAACTGTCTGTGAAGACCATGGAGGATTCCTTTGAGCAGAAACTGAAGAGCGAGTTACTGAAGTAAGCAGAGATGAAGATGATCTTCACTGATATACTCATTACATAATTAAGTCAAATCATTGCTTTTAGTGTATGTGTAACATCCTGGAACACAAAACTAGTGTCCTCCACATCTCCTCCTCCATCTTCTGTTGTGTTCTGATGGGAGTTTTGACTTGTGCTGCTGTGAAATAACTCTAATCATTCAGCGGAGTGATATGGAGCTGTAATGCAGCTGTTATGCTGGAACTACTTTAGCTGTGCATTTATCTGACAACATCCGTAGAATGATCATCAGCCAATCAGAATCAAGCATTCAGCAGAGCAGACCTGTAGTATAAGCATCATTAGAGTACTTGTATTATTATAATAATGATATTATATTATTTTATTAGTATAATAATTATATTGGGTCAAAATGATCAATGTATCATGAAGATATTTAGTAAATTTTCTACTGTAAATATATAAATTCTTAATGTATGGTTAGTAATATGAATTGCTTATTTTCTCAATATGTAGAGTTTGTCTGTGAATGCTCACATTTTTAAACAGTTGTATCTCGAAAAAATATCGTTCATCCTAACATTTTACATTTACATTTAATCATTTAGCAGACGCTTTTACCCAAAGCGACTTACAAATGAGGACAAGGAAGCAATTTACACAACTATAAGAGCAACAATAGGCAAGTTTCAGGTGTGTAAAGTGTAAGAAGCAAAACATTAGTAATTATTATTATTATTTTTATTTGTTAGCGGTGGAGCCAGAGAGGCAATTGCAGATTAGTAAGGAAAGTGGAGACTAAATAGTTGAGTTTTTAGTGGTTTCTTGAAGACAGCGAGTGACTCTGCCGTTCTGATGCAGTTAGGGAGTTCATTCCACCAACTGGGCAGATTGACTGCGAGAGTTCGGGAAAGTGATTTCTTCCCTCTTTGGGATGGAACCACGAGGCGACGTTCATTCACAGAACGCAAGTTTCTGGAGGGCACATACATCTGCAGAAGTGAGAGCAGATAAGAAGGAGCAAAGCCAGAAGTCGCTTTGAATCAAACATCAGAGCTTTGAATTTGATGCGAGCAGCAACTGGCAGCCAGTGCAAACGGATGAGGAGCGGAGTGACATGTGCTCTTTTAGCTTCATTAAAGACCACTCGTGCTGCTGCGTTCTGAAGCAGCTGAAGAGGTTTGATAGAGTTAGCTGGAAGCCCGGCTAGTAGAGAGTTGCAGTAGTCCAGTCTGGAGAGAACAAGAGCTTGAACAAGGAGTTGAGCTGCATGTTCAGATAGGAAGGGTCGGACCTTTCTGATGTTATAGAGTGCGAATCTGCACGATCGAGCAGTTCTAGAGATGTGCTCAGAGAAGTTTAGTTGGTGAAAAGCCTTGGAGTAACGATTGATGACCATGTTGGATGCAGTAATGGTTGCCCCGTCCATCTGGATTGAAAAGTTGTGATGTAGAGTCGGTTTGGCAGAAACTTCAAGCATTTCAGTTTTCGTGAGGTTAAGCTGAAGATGATGATCTTTCATCCAGTGTGAAATGTCTGACAGGCAGGCTGAGATGCGAACTGGAACCGAGGGATCATCAGAGTGAAAAGAGAGGTCCATCCCAACACATAATACATTGATATAAAGATTTATTCAGCTTTCAGATGGTGTATAAAGCTCAATTTCAGTAATATAAAAAATACAGAGTCGCATGTTATATATCTGAATCCTGCACATGTCGCTCTCGCAACAAAAATTGAAAAAAGTTTATAAGCTGTGACTTAATTAGCTTATTAAAGAAAGGGTCAGTAGAATTTTTATTTATTTACTAAACAAATATGCATTAAACTGAGCAAAATATTTATTTCAAAGGTAAGATGTATTCAAAAGACTTTGATTTTAAGCAAATGTAGTGTTTTCTGTTTATCCAGGAACCCTAAAATATGAAATCTCACACCTTTTCCATAAAAGTATGAAGTGACACTATTGTGTTCATCACTAAATTCCTTCATTCAATAGTTTTCCTTTGGCTTAGTCCATTTGTTTTGATCAGAAATATCATCACAGTTCAAGTGCACTCTTCCAGAGAGCACATCATATTTTATTCTTAAGAATATTTCATTTAATTACAGTCAATTTAACAGTTTAATAGTGAGGCACTGGAATCAGAATGAGAAAATGCATATCTTAAATACATAATAATAAATGTGAACAGAAAAGTGCAAGGTGAAGAGTAACAGAGGCTGCAATATCTGCTACCAGATACATTTCCAGCTGTCAGACACCCACATGAGAATATACTACAGTAATTTAAAGTAAATACTACAGTGTTTAATTAACCATACTGACACTGACACCTCCAGCAGAGATAGAGATGATGCACAATCAGCTAAAATGTTGCTAGAACTGGGTTTTCATGCATGGGGGCAATATATATATTGCATCACCAGAAATGATTGAGCTCACGTCTGTGTTATGTGATAAGTCCATATATTGATTATCGTGACAGGTCTACACTTCAATGACCTGAGGGGATTAAATGAACTGCACATTTTCAATTTTGGGTGAACTGACCCTTACTTTTGGCATGTTGTAGATATCAGCTGGAACTGAAGGAGGAGAATATGAAGAGAACAGAGAAACTGACAGAAAATGAGGAGAGGATTAGAGGTATGTTTACAGGGTTCTCATTTACTGATTTATTGATCTATACTGTATACTTAGCGCTCCTCTTACTTTACCATGAATTAAAGTTCTACAGGAATCTGTTAGTTGCATTGAGTCTATTATGGATTTCTGACAATTGGCTGTTCCTGCCTGTCCTTGTAACAAATTTCTTAATTTTATCTTGATTATTAAATAAATAATTAATAAATAGAATTACACAAACATGTCCAAATGTATACCTGAAGTGTGTGCAAAAGTACTTGTTGAACAATATAATACATAAACAGGCAATATTAATGTGTATTAAAGCATCTTGCTTAAATTCTTCTGGTCTCAGCTAATTAAATATTATAGTCTTGATTAAAGGATTGTGGCTTGAGTTAAATCCAGTCTGAACAATCGCTTTCACTTTGATCCATGTTTTCCCCTTTGCAGCAGAAGCAACTCGTCTGCAGAAAGAAGCTGCTGTTATTGAAGCAAAGACACAAGACTATGAGAGAACATCATCAGAGGTCAAACAACTGCTGGTAAACACATGCTGTATGATGAAAATCATCTTGCTAGAAGTCATTTCATGTCCTGATGAAGATGCACACTACCTGACGAAAGGCTTGTCTCCTATCTAAGTTTTAGGAGCAAATTAAAACTGGACTTCTCACTGATGATTTGGTATTAGAAGTGTCTTATTTGAAAGATAAAGGCGTCTAGATTTTGTTAATTTGAGCTCAATAAAATCTGATCATGTCTTGATTATTAATGATTTGATCAGGACAGTAAGCTCTGACTCTGCTTAGACTAAAGTGTCATCACTGAACAGAAATAATGTCCAGTATAGAATATAAAGTCCTGCTGCAGTGGAGACAGAATGAATATTGTGTCTGACTCCATCATGAGCTTGGAGGACTGCATCCATACATCTCTGACATGACTCACATCACTGTTAATAAAGTCATCTGGAATGAAGAAGAAAGCCTTCCTGCAGGACTCCCAGAGCTCATCAAGAGTCTTTAGCTGCGTCCCAAATCGCATACTTATGCACTATTCTACGCCATTTTGTAGTATAAATAGTGTAAGTAGTGTGTTCACACTGAAAACTCTAACAATAATAAGTGCACTTTAATAACCCGGATGATGCACTCATTCAGCCGGTAAAATGAAGTGTAGTGATGGACACTTCACGCACTCAACGACCGCAGGTTTGCTTATGTAGCAGAAGGGGCGGAGCTATCAGACGCACATGTTGAATAACTTTATTTATTTTGGATGGTGAAAGCAAAATTCTCCTACGAGAGTGATGATAGCGCCTCCCGATGGTGAATGCGGTTATACTCACGGCAGGTAATATTTGATAATTCGGTCGTTTATTTCACTGATTTAGCAACCGTCAAACGTCATCAAGGAAACGGATTGAATTTCCGCTTAGTAAAAAAACATTAGTGCATGACGACACTACATACATATACTATCCTGTTGAGTGTGTAAGTGCATAAGTACATAGTGCATGAGTGCATAGTGTACCATTTGGGACGCAGCTTTTGTGTTCATCTTCAATGTCTCTTCCTTCATCTTACCCCAGACATCCTCAATAATGTTCATGTCTGGTGACTGGTCTTGCCAATCCTGCAGCAGCTTGACCTTCTCTGCTTTCAGGAGCTTTGATGTGGAGCTGAAGTATGAGCAGGAGCGCTATCCTGCTGGAGAATTGTCCCTCTCCTGTGGTTTGTAATGTAATGGGCAGCACAAATGTCTTGATACCTCAGGCTGTTGATGTTGATCATCCACTCTGCAGATCTCTCACACGCCCCCATACTGAATGAACCACAAACCATGATTTCTCCTTCACCAAACTTGACTGATTTCTGTGAGAATCTTGGTCTATGCTGGTTCCAGTAGTATTGGTGATGATTGGGATACAGATCAGCAAATGATTCAGCAGAGAAATCCACCTTCTGACACTTTTACACATCATCAACTAGAAGTCAAGGTATTATTGGTAGCTTTTACAACTGAGCCTTGCCACAAGACTTTTGTCAGGCAGTGTAGATATAAAGATATAGCACATTTTCACTGAATTCAGCCAATTAGTGGATAGAGTTGAAGGTAAAATAGTTTGACTCTTTGTAAGTTCCTTTGGACAAAAGCATCTGCCAAATGACTGAATGTAAATGTGTTTGCTGCAGATGGAGCTGGAGTCGTCCCGATCGCAGGCGTCTCTCCTGAAGCAACAGAAGGAGCTGCTGAGAGAACAACTGGAGAACATGAGGGATTATCCAGAGCTGAAGAAACACACGCTGGAGCTGCAGACACGCATCAGCCTGCTGAAACAACAGCTGGAGGAGAAACAACAACACAACCAGAGGCTGACACAAGGTGAACTTCTTATTGTTATTTTCAGAGATGAGTCCCGTGACGTGCTTTGAAATGTGCATTTTTATTAGATGTTTGACGTAATCTGAGCCGAAACATGAAGAGAGCGCGGGGCATAGAGAAGCTCCCCTTTAAACCAAAATACAGCCAATGGTGTATGGTTCTATCACTGCTCTGGCAGGGAGTGGTTGAGCTCAAGCTAAAAGCCAATGAGAAGAAGTGGGCAGGGCATGTCAGATAGTAGGTAGCATTTGATTGGTCAGAGGATTTGATGAGTATGAGGTGACATGTTCTACTATTACACTGTGTTGCCATTTGGCAGCACCATAGACTGTAAAATATATAGACGTAGTATCCGTGACGTCACCCATAGGTTTCTGAAGAGCGCAAAAGAAGCCACAAGTAGGCGCGGCCAACTGTCGCCATTTTGGTCACGCGTCATCACACCCACCTCGGGATACCAAACAAGGGCAAAGAGGCGGAGAGTGAGCGGAGCTACAGACACCTGCTGGCATTTAGCTTGGACCTGGTTCAGACACACTTTACTTTGGGAGAAATGCTTAATACTTCATCACCTGCGACTCGTTTGTATTCTGACCACTTGTGCTTTGTTGTACACTATATCAATAAAGTGTTTAGACTTTTAAAAACACTGCTGTAATACATTGAGCCACTAAACATTGTTCTTATGACGTTTTTCAACAGGAGGAAAACGCGATTACTTCCAAACACTTCAGATATAGTCTGTGTTAGTTAATGCAGGACCATTGATGAAATCCAGCATAACACTGTATGACAACACTTCAGATGACGATTATAGAGCCTACAGCTAATCAACCTGTCAGATTCTGGAGTTCATTACAGCTCTAAATATAAATATAAACGATAAATGATCTTAAAAAAGACAAATACATGTACAGAGATGGTATATAAGTATATAACTTTACTCACATGGGAAATGGAGGCCACGTGAATGGTTTGTGAGCACAATTAAGTGCACTCAGCGTGCCATGCCATCTAATAATTGTAGGAAACAAGTCCAAAAGGCAGTTGACTGTGTAAAGCCACATAAAACAACACAGAAATACGATAAATATGCCGAGTTCAGTGGCTAATCTGCAGGATTCAGCTGAGGTGACGTGACGGCGACCAGCGAGACCTAACTGTCAATCAAGTGGCCACGCCCTTAATTATGCAAACTTAATATAAAGGAAACGGATGAGTTATAAAAAATTCACCCCCTCACAGTTGTCATGAAGGGTAATATTAGCTGTATTAACCAAAATCTTTTTTTGTATCAGGCTGTAAACACCTTTTTTTCTGCTGTAAAGTTGGCCAGTCTAACAGTGTGCTCAATTGAAATTTGCTCTGTTTTGGAGCCAGGAGCGGCCAGGACTAGCGGAATTTCGGATGAATTGCAGTTTTAGTTACTTCCGTATTGGCTTCCTGAGGGAGAGCGGGAGGTTGCCGCTTGGGCAGCACACACATTTGATCAATTTACAGAAAACTATTTTGAATATGTCATCATAACTCACTGGAGGTGATGTTTCAAATTTTTTTGTGGATCTGACATAATTTGATTCTTTGTTTTTATTGACATTTGCATTCAGCAACTATTCACAATAAACGCCAGTGTGTCAGAAATTGCACTACAGAAAAACACTGCACATCATGTGACCTAACCAAAGCACATCATTGGCTACACAAAGGTCCAACAAAAAAAATCATTGTTGTTCTTAAAGAAACAGGGAAAATGAACATGAATATCATGTTGCCACAATATGGCAACACCATTCGGCAGTGGATTAAATGTCACTTTAAGCTACATACTAGTGTTTTGAAGAGTATCTAGTCTAATATTATGTGCTGTCATCATGGCAAAGATAAAAGACATCAGTTATTAGAAATTAATTATTACATTGGGAAATGTTTGGAAAATAAAAGCTTCACAGGAGGGCCAAACACATCTTCTCTCATTGTCAGTTGAAATATTGTTTGTTTATAATTTGATGGAGATCATATGGTTTATAAGCTGACGGCCAACATCATTCCAGCCTTGATTATTTACTCATTCAACAAAAAATGTTTCAGAAAGATCGGTTAATTTCTCTGTTTGTTTGTCCATCTATTCTGAAACGGATAGAAGCAAACATTTGCAGAGTAAATATGTAATAAGAACACAAGCGCACTGTGATTTCTGGGAAAGACCTGCTCTTGAAGTCAGTCCCTTTTTGTGAAGTTTGAGATTTTAAAGGGGTCAAGCTGGGACAGCAGAGCAAACACACACACACACACACAGAGTGAGAAGTGTCCCGTCTGCACGTGCTCTGCTTGTTAATTTGACCATCTTGGCTGCAACGGGAGAAAGAGCTGAAAGACAGAGAAACGCTTCATTGTTTGGGCCTCTAGAATACAGGAGGAGACTTGAGTTTTGCAGGATGACCTTGCAATAAATGCAAAAAAAAAAAAAAAAAAGTCTGCTCACTAGCTATATTTCCATCCAAAGATGTGAATTAGATTTATGAAATATTGCATAAAATATTCACAAATAAATCAGCATTTCCATCCAATAAATCATTCATTCATTTTCTTGTCGGCTTAGTCCCTTTATTAATCCGGGGTCGCCACAGCGGAATGAACCGCCAACTTATCCAGCAAGTTTTTATGCAGCGGAAGCCTTTCCAACCGCAACCCATCTCTGGGAAACATCCACACACCCATTCACACACACACACTCATACACTACGGACAATTTAGCCTACCCAATTCACCTGTACCGCATGTCTTTGGACTGTGGGGGAAACCAGAGCACCTGGAGGAAACCCATGCGAACACAGGGAGAACATGCAAACTCCACACAAAAACGCCAACTGAGCCGAGGCTAGAACCAGCGACCCAGTGACCTTCTTGCTGGGAGGCGAAAGCACTACCTACTGCGCCACTGCCTCGCTCCACTAAATCAAAGAGAACAAAATAATCACTTTCTGCGAAACAGTCGGAAATATCGCTGAGAGAAGTAGAGTTTGCTGCACTGTTGGCGTTCGCCACTGTGATGTTTGTTCTCCTCTAATAAATGAGCTGCACCTTAGAAGATGAAGACGACATACAATGAATGCGGTGGCTTTTGGAGGCGTGAGCGCAGACAGATGCTCAAGACTAATAATACTGATAATAATAATACTGAAGCACTGTAATGACGGACTGACGGAGGGCTGAGAGGCCTTGTACAATCTGCAGAACAACATTTCAGATCTGCTGGAAACGTGGAGAACTGCAAACCAACATTAATGACACACACTGACTCACACACACACACGCATTTACATCTGATCAGCGTTTGAGAAAACTCCATCACAGCACACACACTCATGGAGTTTACTGACTAAATCTAATAAGAAATAATGCACATAAACTATAATAGAAATACATTTATAGTTCATCCCTCTCACCTGTGTGCATATGTTTTTTTATTTGCATTTCCATAATATATGCACATCTTAGGGTTTCCATCTAAGCATATTTTAAATATGAAATGCTAATGTACTTCCAGCTGAAACTGAATATTGAGTAGGGGGCGGAGCTTTATCTTGCACATCATTCCCTTTATAGCAAACGAACAGCCAGAGAGGGTATTAATATGCAGTTGCTATGGAAACCCTCAGATTGATGTCAACGGACAGATCGCCACTCTAAACACAGAAGCTCAGACTTTTGATTGCTGATTACCAAAACACACTAATATTTTTCGGTGGATTAATTGTTTATCTTAAGAGTAACATTGTGAGCTGGCAAAATAATAATGTTGGATTGATGCAGAAAATGTGTTTTTGTTGTTGTTTTAGAGCTCAGCGCGCCGTCACATGAGCATCTGATGCTGCAGGCGGAGCTTCGGAGACTGGAGGCGGAGCATAAACTGGAGAAGGAGGAGTTGGAGACGCAGAAGAATGTCTTACACACACAACTGCAGCACGAGGTTTGACCTGCGCTGTGTCTAGTGCTCATGCTCGTGTGTTTGTGTTCATTTTTATCCTTTATCGTGATCAAATTTAGGGATTGCTTTTGATTTATAGTGTTTCAGGTGTCATTTTTTCCCATTCTCCCTGCAAACAAGTCTTAAGGTGGGCAACAGTACGGGGTATTCACTGACGCAATTTGTGCTTTAATATGCGCCACACATTCTCTTTTGGAGACAAGGTCGGGGCTGCAGGCAGGCCAGTCCAGTCTTCTTCCTCCACAGCAGGACTCAGTAATGTGTGCTGAATGTGGTTTTGCAGTGTCTTGTTGAAATATGCATGAGCGTCCCTGGAGAAGAAGGCAGCATAATGTGCAAGTTACCTTTGCCAAGGGCACTTACACAACCCCAGACCATTACAGACCCTGGCTTTTGGACTTGTTGCTAGTAACAGTCTGGATGATCCTTTTCTTCTTTGGTCTGGATCACACGACGCCCATTTCTCCTAAAAATACCTGAAACAGTAAATCATCTGAGCACAGTACATGTTTCCACTGTGTGATGGTTCTTCCCAGATGACTCTGAGCCCAGAGAAGTTGACGGCGCTTCTGGACACTGTTAACATAGGGCTTCCTTTTGGCTGAGTACAGTTTTTACTGGCATTTGTGGATGTAACTCTGTATTGTGGTACTTGACAGGTTTACTGCAGTAGTCCTGAACCCATGTGCTGATCTGGTTTATAGATGAATGAGGACTCTTGATGCGGCGCCCCCTGAGGGGTCGGAGATCACGGTTGTTCAGCTTAGGCTTGCGCTCTTGTCCTTTACACACTGAAATTCCTCCAGATTCCTTCGATCTTTAATGATGTTCTGCACTGATGAAGGTGAAATATCCAAATGTCTTCCTCTCTTTCTCTGAGGATCATTGTTTTTCAACATTTCAATCATTTCCTCATGTGTCTGTCAGCAAACTGGTGATCCTCAGCCTAAAGGACTAGAGCTTCCTTTGCTGCTGCTTTTGTACCATAATCACATCATTATTTCAGCAGTTTACCTGCTCACTGCCCTAATCTGCTCCTGACACTACTGTTACTGGAGTGTGTTGCAGGTCTGGATGACCGGAAAGGATGAATATTTACAAATGAAATGAAGTTGACCAGAAAAAGCATCAAACATTTTGTGTTCATATTGTCTCCACTCAAATACAAGCCAAAGTAAATTTAGAAATCACCACTTTCTTTTTTTATTTGTGTTTTCCATACTGTCCCAACTTTTTCTGATTCAAGGTTGTGTGTGTGTGTATATATATATATATATATATATATATATATATATATATATATATATATAGGCGAGGCAGTGGCACAGTAGGTAGTGCTGTCGCCTCACAGCAAGAAGGTCGCTGGTTTGAACCTCAGCTCAGTTGGTGTTTCTGTGTGGAGTTTGCATGTTCTCCCTGCCTTCGTGGGTTCCCCCACAGTCCAAACACATGCGGTACAGGTGAATTAGGTAGGCTAAATTGTCCGTAGTGTGTGTGTGTGTGTGTGTGGATGTGTGTGTGGATGTGTGTGTGGATGTGTGTGGATGTTTCCCAGAGATAGGTTGCGACTGTAAGGGGCATCCGCTGCGTAAAAAACTTGCTGGATAAGTTGGCGGTTCATTCTGCTGTGGCGACCCCCGGATTAATGAAGGGACTAAGCAAACAAGAAAATGAATGAATGCATGAATATATATATATAAATATAAACCTTCATATAAATATGAATGTGTGCTGCAGGTCCAACAGTGTGCGCTGTTGAAGACTCAGCTGATGGAGTGTGAAGAACGCACTAAATGGATGAACACACACACTGAAGAGCTCAAACTACAGCTACAGCAGACTCAGCAAGGTAGACGCACTCACACACACACACTCACTGCAGACTTTCAGTGTAATGGAGTCCATCGTTTCTGTCCATCATCTGATTCTCTGAGGGTGCTTTCACACCTAGACTTTTGTTTCAGAACTGTCTCGTTTGCCCAGTTAGCGCGGTTCGTTTGCCATATGTAAAACCACCAATCGCGCCAAAGTAATCGCTCCGAGATCGCTTGAATGAGGTGGTCTCAGCTTGATTTAAACGAACTCTGGAGCGGATCGATTGCAGTGAGAAAGCGATACGATCTGAGCGCGGTTATATCACAGTGTTTTATGGAAATGTAATAGGCATACGGCTATATGAAGAGAGAATTATGAGTAGGGCGGGAAGTTTCGCGAGTCTCCGGTTGCCCGCAAACAGGTGATGATCTCCCAGTAATCTTGCGTCTCCCTCCCGGTCCTCAAATAAGCTACGTCGTGCACCCTTCTCACCCCTCCCCACCGCATCTCTCCTCACTCTTCAGACACGTTGCGCGCACCTTGTCAAACACCACCAAACCCACCACCCTTCCTGACAGCTGAGCCAGACTCTGACCAATGTGAGGAGAGTTTACTCGCACGTGACTTGTTTTTGCTCTTTTGGTCCGATTAGGAACTGTGCAGTGTGAAAGCGAACCGCTCCAAGAGCAAAGAGCAACAATGTAACATTTGTAATCTCTGTTTCAGAACAACTGAATCGATTCACTGGTGTGAACGCACCCTGAGACTCAACTCTTCTGTCTGTCACTGCAGGCTGTAAATTCTGTACGTCTTTTTTTCTGTATTGTTGGCTTTCTGTGAATCACACTTTTATCATCTTTCAGGATGTTCTATGATTGATTTTATGTGGATTTGCAAGATAAAAACTTGCAAAAATGAGTGTTTCATTCAGGGTTCCTGCATTCATCTCAAACATTATAGAAATAAGTGAATGAAAATAATTAAAATGAGATTAATAAAATCCAAAAGCAATCATGTGATTGAAATACAATATTAAGAAAATAATAAGGTGACGCAGTAGGTAGTGCTGTCGCCTCACAGCAAGAAGGTCGCTGGTCGCCTCAGCTCAGTTGGCGTTTCTGTGTGGAGTTTGCATGTTCTCCCTGCCTTCGCGTGGGTTTCCTCCGGGTGCTCCGGTTTCCCCCACAGTCCAAAGACATGCGGTACAGGTGAATTGGATCGGCTAAATTGTCCGTAGTGTGTGTGTGTGTGTGTGTGGATGTTTCCCAGATATCGGTTGCAACTGGAAGGGTATCCGCTGTGTAAAACATATGCTGGATAAGTTGGCGGTTCATTCCGCTGTGGTGACTCCAGATTAATAAAGGGACTAAGCCGAAAAGAAAATGAATGAATGAATGAAAATAAATAATATTTGTAAAAAATATTTAATACAAACTGCATTATTTAATTATTCGTTAATTTTATAAATGACATTATATTGCATTTTCCTATTATATAAATACTGAAGTATAAACACAAACCACATCATTCTGATTCAATTGTTATTAAATCAGCATTTTTGGAAGTCTAATATTTTGAGTATTTCATTTTTTTAACAAGTTAATTATAGTTAATAATTCAATACAACTAGATAATAATAATAATAATAATAATAATATAAAATTGCAATTATTTTTCTGAATGGTTAATTTATGGTACTCTGTCAAAAACGTCTTCAATTTAAATTATTTTTCGAAAATTAACAATTACGGGCGGCTCAGTGGTTAGCACTATGGCCTCACAGCAGTAAGGTCGCTGGTTCAAGTCCCAGCTGGGTCAGTTGGTGTTTCTGTGTGGAGTTTGCATGTTCTCCCCGTGTTGGCGTGGGTTTCCTCCGGGTGCTCCGGTTTCCCCCACAGTCCAAACACATGCGCTATAGCGGAAATGATTAACTAAATTAGCCGTAGTGTATGAGTGTTTCCCAATACTGGGTTGCGGCTGGAAGGGCATCTACTGTGTAAAACATATGCTGGTGTAGTTGGTGGTTCATTCCGCTGTGGCGACCCCTGCTAAATAAAGGGATTAAGTCAAAGGAAAATGAATGAATGAAATAAACAGTTCACCAATTAATCATTCATATTTATTGAAAAGAATTGTTCAGACAAATTCACATGACATTCTGCATGGTTAAGAAATCGTAAATGTATAATTTTCCAGTAATCACACACAGGATTGGTCAAATGGAGCCCTGATCTTTCAGTAGCAGTAGTTTGGTGGTTTGGCTTTATCTGTCTCTCTTCTTTTCCTTCTTTCTCATTTTCCCCTCACTGGAACAGCTCTAGAAAACGAGATCCTCCGAAACCCCAAGCCTTCTCTGGTAGACCGATCTGTTCTCAATCTGCACCCTGATAAACTCCTTCCTCCTGATATATACATAGACACTGAACTCCTCAGAAACACCAGAGCCGCTGCTGACGGTAATGTATCTGAAGCAGGACCGGCTCTCAGGGGCCCGAAATCTCGCACAGTGGCCCCTGAACATGATTCTGACATGGTTATCAGTGCTTTATCCCGCATTCGAGAGCTGGAGCAGGAGGCGGAGCGGCTAGAGGAGGCATACAGGAGTCACCAGCAGAGGGCGCTGTCTGCTGAAGATCCCACACTGCACAGAGGCAGCCAGAACTACAGCAGACCCACAGCAGCGCAGCAGCACAGAGTAAGAGTTCATCTACAGCGTAGAGCCAGGCGATTAATCGAAAAGAAAACAAAGGCAAAATAAATCACACTATTTCCTGCTTTAACGTGTAAATTATATTTGTTGAACTGTTGCAGCAAAACTTTTTTTTTAATAATTACACCGTGTGGTCATTTCAATAATTTCAAGTCAGCACAGCTTGCACATAATTAAAGTTTGAAGAAATAATAATCTAGGTGAACTGTTCAGTTAATCAAGGTTTTGACTTTAGGTCATATCCCGCAGTCCTATTTTTGCGGGACGTCCCATTGAGGAGGAGCATGAGGAGTTCAGTAGGACTCCTTCTCCAGCAGAGCGACTCGCCTCTCCTCCTGCCAGACGTCTGTCCTCCACACCACAGTCTGCTTCCAGGAGCAAACGCCGAGCAGATGAGGAGCATGATGAACACTCTTTAAATACAGGTAACACTGCTGTTTACAACTGGGGATAGGGATGGATTACACGAAGAATACAGAATCAGGTATGAGTAGAAAGTGTTGGGAAGATCGAGTTTTGAGGTTTTGGGAATCAAGAATCAGATCTGAGGTGTTGAAAATCGAGGATCAGTTCTGAGTGTTGAGAATTGAGGCCGTACTCACACTATGTACAGTTGCCTCGAACCGGGCCAAAGCACGCTTGTCCCCCCTCCCTTCTCCCCCGACAGTCACACTACAATCGGGCTTGGGCATGCTTACTTCATCGATGCTGTGCTTCGGTGTGCGCTCTCACTCAGCACAGTGGAGATTGCTCTAGTTATATGGGTTCAGTCGTTTGATATGCAGTGACATGCAGTAAAATATTTCACCAAACAGTCCTTAGGGATGGGATGGAACGCAGTCTGATATTTCGCAGAACAGATCCGCCACTTTTGGCGCTCATAATCATAAAGCCATCATGCTGCAGGAATGAGGAGGTCTGCTGAAGGTGCAGCTGTCGTGCAGTGAGAGGTTTGCGTCTTTAATAAGCTACGGCAGTTTGTGTTCACTGAACAGTAAGAATGATTAATAAATCCATATGAAACAACCCCTTAAAAGTCACGTCTCGCTTTCAGTTTCGAGTGAACCGCGCTCAGGCCCAACTCTTCCAACCTGTCCAGGGTTGGCCAAGTGAACCGAGCTTGAGCCCGATTCAGCGCACTCACACTTCTCAAACGATCCGGGAAACGGGCCTGGGCACGGTACTGATGGCATAGTGTGAGTAGGCCCTGAGAATCAGTTCTGAGGTGTTGAGAATCGGGGAACAGTTCTGAGGTGTTTGATTCTAGTATCCGTTCTGAGGTGTTGAATCAAGGATCAGATCTAAGGTGTTGAATATTGAGGATCAGTTATAAGGTGTTGAGAATCGAGTGTTTGGAATCGAGCATCAGTTCTGAGGTGTTGAGAATCGAGGATCAGTTCTGAGGTGTTGAGAATCGAGGATCAGTTCTGAGGTGTTGTAAATCGAGGATAAGTTCTGAGGTGTTGTAAATCAAGGATCAGTTCTGAGGTGTTGTAAATCGAGGATCAGTTCTGAGGTGTTGAGAATCGAGGATCAGTTCTGAGGTTTTGAGAATCGAGGATCAGTTCTGAGGTGTTGAGAATCGAGGATCAGTTCTGAGGTGTTGAGAATCGAGGATCAGTTCTAAGGTGTTTGGAATCGAGGATCAGTTCTGAGGTGTTGAGAATCGAGGATCAGTTCTGAGGTTTTGAGAATCGAGGATCAGTTCTGAGGTGTTGAGAATCGAGGATCAGTTCTGACGTGTTGCAAATCGAGGATCAGTTCTGAGGTGTTGAGAATCGAGGATCAGTTCTGAGGTTTTGAGAATCGAGGATCAGTTCTGAGGTGTTGAGAATCGAGGATCAGTTCTGAGGTTTTGAGAATCGAGGATCAGTTCTGAGGTGTTGAGAATCGAGGATCAGTTCTGAGGTGTTTGGTATCGAGCATCAGTTCTGAGATATATATATATATATATATATATATATATATATATATATATATATAGTTTATTTGAACAGCTGAGTGTAATCGAGCATTTTTCAGAGTCTGACGTTCTTTTCTCTAGTGTGTGGTTTTGAGGTCTTGTGTGTGCAGTGTGTAATTGTTTATTTTGTTGTGTGTTTTGTCTCAGAGTGTGTGAAAGTATCCTCTAACACGGACAGACCAGCGCTGATGTTTCCAGAAAGACTCATTTCACCCATTCCTGCTGAGGAACTGAGCTCCTCCATCAGTCCCAGCAGCCCCGTCATGAAGAGCACCACACGACACACACAAAGGTGCACACACACACTCACATGACACACTCACACGACGTAGACACACACACAAATAAAAATTGCATTTTGAAGTGTGTTGTGATCGGAACCGCACAGGTTTGTGTATGAACTCTGCTTGTGTTATTCAGCATGATGTGCTCGAGTAAATCTCTTATTGATATAAGGAATTGTGTATTAGTCTAGTCAATTGTGTGTGTGTGTGTGTGTGTGTGTGTGTGTGTGTGTGTGTGTGTGTGTGTGTGTGTGTGTGTGTGTGTGTGTGTGTGTGTGTGTGTGTGTGTGTGTGTGTGTGTGTGTGTGTGTGTGTGTGTGTGTGTGTGTTGTTTTCTCAGTCCAGCCAAACTGCAGGAAATCCTCTTGTCCAGCTCCTCTCAGGAATCCTCACCGCAGCCAGAGAAAATCACACTGCACGACCTGACGGAGCCCATACAGAGTAAGAGCACACACACACACACACACACACACACGTGTCTGTGTTTGTTGTTGAATGCGCTTGTGATGTAGATGACTTTTTACTTCTTAGCCTTGTTTTTTTTTTCCAGAAAGTCAAAAAGCTGATTGTTTAGGTTAGGAGAGTATATGCAGGCTCTACAGTACAAAAACAATGGAAACCAATGTAAAGTCCCCACAATTCACTAAAACAAATCTCTCTCTCTCTCACTGTGCGTGTGCGTGTGCGTGTGTGTGTGTGTGTGTACAGTGGTATCTGCAGATCAGCCGTGTCTCCTTCAGGATTGTGAGCCGGAGCTCCAGCAGGATCATCCAGGTGAGATCATCAGGAATCTGTCGCTCAGATCTGTGTGTGTGTGTGTGTGTGTGTTTAGCAGCTTTTCCAACATCAGAGCCAACCCTTCTGTTTGCTTAATCGTTCATCATTTGTGCTGATTTAATCCCGTCTGATGCTCCACGGTGTTGCTGTTGTTTTGATTTTGAGATGTTGTGGGAATGTAATACACATGCGCCAGTCATTGCCGTGGTGTAATGTAAACGTTGATATGGACGACAGTCATGTGTTTCCATGTTGGGACTCTTATTTCTGATGTTTACTTCATTGAATAACAGTAAATAGGCTGTGTTCTTCAGCATTATACTGGACAAGCAGCTTTTTGTGTTTTCCAGATGTACAAATATCATCATCATCATCATCATCATCATCATCACAGCGTGAGGAAGAGCAGCAGAGAGAGACACACACACTCCAGCAGCAGCCGGTGAGATCAGCATATCTTTACTACTGTTGACATTATAGTTTCAGTTACAATCAAATATGAGTTTATTTCCTGTATTTTTCCTTTTATTTGTTCACTGCATGACCCCGGACCGCAAATCCAGCATGAGGAACAAACACAAGAGCAGCGTGATGATGCTGGGGGTCATGTGACTTCAGCGGCCTCACCGACTGGAGGAGCAGAAGAGGCCAATCCGCTGCAGAGATACATGCAGATGCTGATGCAGGACAAACAGCAGGAACAGGCGAGTGAACAACATCTAGTCTAATATTATTTACTGTCATCATGGCAAAGAGAAAATAAATCAGTTATTAGAGATGAGTTATTTAAACTGTTATGATTAGAAATGTGTTGAGAAAATCGGCTCTGTGTTAAACAGAAATTGGGGGACATTTTCAGGATGGTGAATAATTCTGACGAACTGTGTGTATATATATTTATACAAACCTTTATTTAAATATTTGAACATAATATCATGCAGGGCTGCAGGATCTTGGAAAAAAAACATAGACTGTAAAATATATGGACGTTGTATGCGTGATGTCACTTATAGGTTTCTGAAGAACACAAAAGAAGCCATCAGTAGGCGTGGCCAACCGTCGCCAAACACTTCACACAAAGCCAGAGATGAACATCTGATTCCATCCTGAATGAATCTATTTCTAAACGAATCATTTGAGTCAGTGAATCAAACGTAAAGACAGACACAAACAAATCGCAAACATAAATAGAATTTCTTGGCAGTATCACACACTTCTGCTGGCTCAATAATAATGATGATGTTTATGTGATATAATAAAGTTCAGTAATCTTACACAAGCAGGACATAAAGCCAGAGATGAACATCTGATTCCATCCTGAATGAATCTATTTCAAAACGAGTCATTTGAGTCAGTGATTCAGTGAATCAATCATGAAGACAGAAACATAAAACACATGCCAAATATGACATCTTGTCAGTATCACACACCTCTGCTGGCTCATTCATTATGATGATGTTTAATAACCATATACGATGTTGATTTTTCAGTCTCCAAATAAAGAGTCATCAGGGAGTCACGAGGAGAATCTTCAGTCTGAGAATCACGAGCACAGGTGATGAATCATTCATGAGTCATGTAAATGAGCTTCATTAATATGCACTTTTTAAATAACAATTGATTACAATCTGTCTTGCAGCGCCGGCGTGATTTCACACGATGAAGCCGACGATGATTTCTGGTGAATCTCGCTTCTGTTTTTATTGAATTGACCTTTTTAATAAATGTTCGGTCACGTTTCCGATGCCTGTCTGAGATCATCAGTGAAATGATGAATATTATAATAATGACAGGCAGTCTGATGGTGGAAAAGAAAACACAGAGAGATCCAGGAGGACTTTTATTTCATTTTCATACAAAATACAAGAGCTTGCTTCGTTCAGTTCATCAGTTTTGGGCAGTGTTTAATATTCACAATCCAGCATACTCGGCGGATTTCTATGATTATTAATGTCACTGGTGAGAATGACCAGCGCTTAAAGCATTAATATGAACACATCATACATCAAATCCTTCTGGGAGATTACAAAAGAGAAGTCTTAGGGCTTACAAAAGAGAATCATGCATCATATAGCGGTGTTCATCTTTAGTATACAATTCCCAAATAGCAGAACTAGAGGAATCTGCTACTGTTACACAAATAACAGCGGACTATTGGTTAAACAGACGATATTATACACAGATCATATATGAGAACTAGATGAAGAGTAATAACGCATGCCTACAAAGAGGAAACAAAAGCAGATAATAATGTTCAAATCTGCCTGCAGAGTCCACACAGAGGAGTTCATCCAGTCTGCTGCGTACCCAACCCATAATGACAACAAAAAAAGCGTTGGTGACACGGTGGCTCAGTGGTTAGCACTGCAGCCTCACAGCAAGAAATTCACTGGTTCAAGTAAAGGTTGGGTCAGCTGCTGTTTCAATGTGGAGTTTGCATGTTCTCCCCGTGTTTTTCCAAACACATGCACTATAGGGGAATTGGTGAACTAAAATAGCTGTTGTGTGTGTGTGTGTTCGTGTTTTTGTGACATATCAGGACACAAATCTGCAAAATGACATGGGTTTGACACAGGTATTGAAAAAAGGAGGTGAAATATGAGGACATTGGTGACGTAAATGCTTAAATCCTACAGAATGAGTTTAATCAGATTAAAGCTGCACACAGTCTCCTGTGATGGTTGGGTTTGGGGGTCGGGTGGTGGCAATACAATATACGGTTTGAACAGTATAAAATGAATGGAAACCTATGTAATGTCCCCACTTTTCACAAATACAAACGTGTGTGTGGGTGTTTTTCTGTACTGGGTTGCGGGAAGGGCATCCGCTGTGTAAAACATATGCTGGAATAGTTGTTGGTTCATTCCACTGTAGCAACCCCTGATAAATAAAGGGACTAAGTTAGAGGAAAATAAATAAAGCAAAGAGTGTTGTCATTATTTACAGTTGATGCACATTTTGTGAGTTTTCTGGGTAGAGGTCTGCATTTCTGAATGAAGCGCGGGAGCGGTCGGTACCTGGTGTAATTTTGGACGTGAGCGGGCGGTCTAACAATATCGCTCCCGACTCCCGAACACGCGTATGCATGTGTGTGAATGAGAGTGTGTGATGCCGCGTTTAGCTTGTTTGCTGCTGCTGCGGTGTGTGTGTGCGTGCGTGCGTGTGTGTGAATGAATGAGAGAGAGCTTTGTGTTGTCTGTGTGTGTGTGTGTGTGTGAATGAGAGAGAGCTTTGTGTTGTCTGTGTGTGTGTGTGTGTGTGTGTGAATGAGAGAGAGCTTTGTGTTGTCTGTGTGTGTGTGTGTGAATGAATGAGAGAGAGCTTTGTGTTGTCTGTGTGTGTGTGTGTCACTTGCTTGGTGCTGTGTGTCTGTGTGTGTGTGTTTACACACAGCTTGTTATAGGCTGTCTGGACTGTATAGCTGGGTGGTTTGTGGTTATGTTCTCCCCCTGTCCGTCAGCTGGAATGGGCGCAGCGGGAAGAAAACGGGTCGGGTCGGGTAGCGAGACAACGAATGCTGAACATAAGCAGGAGCGGTCGGGTTCTGACTAAAACCTGGCGGGAGCGGGATTCAAAATTTGGTCCTGCACAGATCTCTACTCTTAAGGGGGGGGGGGGGGGAAATCACTTTACCAATTTATTTTTTGGGAAGAAACAGGAAAAATAAATTGTTCTCCTACATTGAGATACAAAAATAGATTCTTACATTTGGTTTTTAATCTTAAGCTGACATTAAGATTTTTTTTCCCCCCATTTTTTTTTCTCAAAAAATATTTTTCTTTTTTTTTTTCTCTTAAAAAGATGAGATGATTTGTCAGCATCTTACATTTAAAAAATCTGTTTCTTTTTAATTTCTCCCTAAAATAACTTTTATTTTCCTTCGTCTTACTCCCTTATTTATCTGGGGTTGCCACAGCGGAATGAACCGCCAACTATTCCAGCATATGTTTTACACAGCTAATGCCCTTTCAGCCGCAAATGCAAACTGTTTGGACTGTGGGGGAAACTGGAGCACCCGGAGGAAACCCACGCCAACATGGGGAGAACATGCAAACTCCACACAGAAACACCAACTGACCAGCCGGGACTTGAACCAGTGACCTTCTTGCTGTGAGGCAGCAGTGCTAACCACTGAGCCACCCAAAATAACAATTAGAGGGAAAAAAAAAAAAGATTTTGAAAAATTGGAGGAAAATAAAAGGTCAAATATAAATGAGAAAATAAATGAAGACTGAAAATGTTTTAAGAGTTTTATTTTACCGCAGCATTTATTATTTTCCATCAGGGTTTCTGTTGATTTCACATTCACTGATGCAACACATGGATAAAAAAAATCTTCTGTGAAATGAGGAAAGTCCAGAGATGTGCATCTGCGGTGTCTCTAATGCACACTCACTACAGAACCAGACCTCAAATCATTAATGCAAAAGAGAAATACATAACGTTTTCAGACCAGCAATGTCAGGTTAGCCCACATATGATTACAAAAACTGAAAACTAACCGAGCTTAAAATGAACGAAAAAGTTTCTACCTAATGAAAAAGAGAGGAATGATGGCGCTTCCCTGATGCTGGACAGTAAATCAATGCTGAAGGTTTGCTGAATGTGAGGTAGTGAAGCGCTGTGTGTTATGTGTGCATACACTCTGCAGAAACACACACACAGATCTCTGCATCAAAAATGCGCTTGTGTTTCTGAAAAACATGCATGGTTCTTTAAAAGGTTTGCACAAAATTGCACCCGAATGCACTGCAGCAAAATAAAGATCCAGCATTTCTATTTTATTTTTGTTAAAGTCCATCACAATTCTGACTTTATTTCTGCTGTTCTCAGTTCATATCTTGATATTTGAAGTTCATTAAATTCCATAGTTGCAAAAAAAAAGTGTAAATGCAGCTTTATAACCCGAATCTGCAGAAAAACTCTCAATTTTGAGGGAAAAAGGGAGAAAAGTTGGTGATTTTTAATTCTTGCAATTATTTATGTTTTTTTACATGATGAATCTGCAATTGCAAGTTGAGGAAAAAATATTCTGAAAAAAATATCCAAGTAAAACAAAAAGTCAAATCTGCAAGATGGAGTAAACTCACAGCAGAAAAAAAATAAAGTTGCTCTTTAAAGAAAGAAGTTTAGCTCATAAAAAAGCAACAAACTTCAAATTCTGAGGAAAAATGCTGAAAATCAGAGGAAAAAAAGAGAAATATGTGACGCCTCTCAAAATCTCAGTTATGAACATTTCTCAAAATTCTGACTTTAATATTTGCACTCCTTTCCACTGTTCTTTTACATCTTAAATGTCTTTTTTTCATGTTAATTATCTAAGAAATGAACATGAAATGAGGAGTTTGTAAAACTCTGCAAGATACAGATCACTAATTTAGGACGGCTGAAACATAAAAATGCAAATGAGAGAAAGTCAGAATTAGGAGATTTGTTTTTTTATTGTTTGTCTTTTGAGTTCAGTGACTTCCATAATTTTGACTCTGGACACAAAACCAGTCATAAGTGTCCGTTTTTGCACATTGAGATTTATATATCGCCATTAATAATCTTTCCATTGAGAAACTGATTTAGAATTGACAATATTTGTTCCAGATAAAACAATCTGAAAATCTGCTGTGTTCACACACACACACACAAATCTAAATACAGAGGACAAATTAGGGGTGTAACGGATGACGGCTGATCCAAGATTCACACAGATCACAACCCACAGTTCTGAACACACATGACCTGTGGATTAACACATTTTTTTTTACTGGTAGATTAAACCTAAATTGTTACCGATGGCAGAGAGATCGTCTCTTGCTCATTCAGATCACATGTATGGAAGCATTCGGGCTTTCCTGTAAAATATAATGATGACGGAGGAAGTTGTGGTGGGTTATTAGGGATGTGGAGGGTTTCTCAGGTTATTAAAGGTGTTTTCTGTCTCTGCTTGTTTAGCCTGCATTCAGTGTTAGCTGCACGATTAATCAGTAAAAGATCAGGATCACAACACCCACGCAACATCAATTATAAATGATGCTGATTTGCATATGTTTATTAATCCGGCCAATCGCTGCATCCAAATCTGAAAACGCAAAAATCAAGTAAGAGAGTCTGTAGTGTTTTGAGTGAGTTATGAAGTTACAAACTGTCAAATAACACAGACGTTCTGGGAGAACAGTTTATAGTCTAGATTAAACCACTGATGTTTATGGTAAAGATTAAAATCACCTTCATGTGCATTTAACTTGATGCTCAAAAATGAAAGTTGTAGGCAGCAATTACATTATTTAACCAGTAGGTGGCGACAACCAGCCATCAAACATACACCACTGAATAATTCTTCAACAATGATCATCCAGCAATGACACATGAAGATTTATGAGTGAAGAACTCAGTCATTTATTGAAGATGACACTTAAAATAAATATGGGTTGTACTAATTATAATGTAACTGCAGTAGTAATAACAGTGCATTTTCACAGTACTGATTATTTTACTGTTTATTTGTAATCAGCTGATTATTTCCTCATTTTATTTGTAATCAAATTACAGCTTCTGAGTTGTTTGTTCAAACCAAAAGTGTCTTGCAGTGCTGTTTCAGTAATAAATGGAGAGCAAATTATATCTGTCTCCTCCCCTTTCTGGCTGACCTGAAAAATGGTCTGATTCATGCCTTAAAAAAAAACAATGTGATCCAAACTGTCAGATTCGTGATCCGTTACACCACTAGGAGAAATCACCTTTAAAGTTGCTCTAATTGTATTCTGGCCAATGCAAATTCTTAATTAAAAAATGCACTTAAATGTTTTCCATAAGTGTCGTCTTGTTTCTTGTCCAGATATCTACATATTCTTAAGTCAAGAAGCATTTTCTAGACAAGCAATTTCAGAAATAATAATGTTTGAATTAAGAGAGTTCTTACGGAGATCCGGAAGGGATGTGATGGTGGAGAAAAAAATGGGTGGAGGAAAAAAGAAATGTGATGGGTAAAAACATATTTTTGAAAGTTTTTGCGTTTCCTCGCAAAGTGAAGTTTCATAAACTAATATCGAGAGGAGCACGTGATATGATTGAGCACGACTGGCCGCTCATCCGTAATCAGTAATAATCCAGTCAGAATGATCCTAGCTTACTATAAATGGATCACTTTCTCCTTATTATCTTTGTTTTGGAAGAATCCCCCCTTCCACCCAATCTCCTCCTTTTCCTCTCTTTTCTAAAAGGGGGAGCTATCGAGACTATACCTGATCTCGGATCTCCTGATATGCTTATTGACCGGGTGGGAGCCCTGGGCTCAAATATCTCCGAGCTCAGGGTTCTCTCCCGGGACAGCATGCCAAACCTGCTATGAATGCTATAAGCATATCTAAGTGGGAACTCTTGAAACTGTCATTCGACAAACACTTCACTTCATACATGACGACCCTGTTTTTGCCGGGATTGTCCCGTATTTTACCTTTATATCCTATTATTAGGTATTTCCCCATATTTCTCTCATATTTTTATTCTTGAAAGCATGTTGAAATTAATATAAAAATATCTGAATGCACTTTTCTTTTCTATTAAAGCTGAGCGTCGATCAGCACCCCTCATTCAACCTCTGAATCAGTGAATGCATGTACAGTTGATGTCAGAATTATTAGCCCCCTTTTTATTCATTTATTTTTAAATATTTCCCAAATGATGTTTAACAGAGCCGAGCAATGTTCACAGTATGTCTGATAATATTTGTTCTTCTGGAGAAAGTCTTATTTGTTTTATTTCGGCTAGAATAAAAGCAGTTTTTGATTTTTTTAAACACCATTTTAAGGTCAATATTATCCCCTATTAGTCTACAGAACAAAACCATCGTTATACAATGACTTGCCTAATTACCCTAACCTGCCTAGTTAACCTAATTAACCTAGTGAAGCCTTTAAATGTCACTTTAAGCTGTATACTAGTGTCTTGAAGTATATCTAGTCAAATTTTATGTGCTGTCATCATGACAAAGCTAAAATAAATCAGTTATTAGAGATGAGTTATTCACACTATTATGTTTAGAAATGTGTTGAACAAAATGTTATCTCCGTTAAACAGAAATTGAGGGAAAAAATAAATAAGGGGGCTAATAATTCTGACTTCAACTGTACATGTGCTGACTGACGGATGCGTTCCGTATGATAAACAGATCCCAGAAGTTCTTCATTAAATGCTAAGCAAAATAATCTTGTATGTCCTTTAACATTATTTTCTGACCCCTTCGGCTGATTGTTTTGCTCGTTTAACTGGAAAAGCGGACTCATTATTTCTAAAAACAAAACAATCATTTCTGCTCGTCTAGAAAATGCTTCTTGATTTTATAATTTTTAATATATTTGAACAAAAAAAACAAGACAAAATGACACTATTTTTCATGATCTCTGCTTAATATTCCAATGATTTTTGGCATAAAATAAACATCAATAATTGCAACCTAATAATTTTAGCCAAATACATTCGTGCAGCTGCTTTTGTGCTCCAGATTCATCCATCATCTGCAACTCGAAAGAGCAGGAGAGATGTTTTGTTTTCAGAAATAATGCTTCAAAATGAAGTGAGATTTTCCCTTGAACAAGCAAAACAATCATGTGTCGTGTTCGCATGATTTTGACGCTCATTGGCAGATTATTTTGCTGGTTTTAGGTAAAAACTTGCTCTATTTTAAAACAACATTTCTGAAAACATGACTATAAGTTTTGCTTGTCTAGAAAATGCTTCTTCATTTAAGAATTTTTAATATATTTGAACAAAAAACAAGACAAAATGACACTTTTTTTCATGATTTCTGCTTAATATTCCAGTGATTTTTGGCATAAAATAAACATCAATAATTTCGACCCAATAATTTTAGCCAAATACACTCGTGCAGCTGCTTTTGTGCTCCAGATTCATCCATCATCTGCATTAAACGTGCATTTGATTTTAACATGCATGATTTTTTTCAGGAGAGAAATGAACAGTCTGCTCTGCATGTGTGTGTGTGTGTGTGTGTGTGTGTGTGTGTGTGTGTGTGTGTAAGTGATTGTAACTCAGGGGCCAATAGAAAGAGAAATAAAGATGTTTTGTTTTCAGAAATAATGCTTCAAAATGAAGTGAGATTTTCCCTTGAACAAGCAAAACAGTCATGTGTTCGCATGGTTTTGATGCTCATTGGCAGATTATTTTGCTGGTTTTAAGTAAAAACTCGCTCAATTTAAAAGTATTATCTCTGAAAACAGGACTATATGCTTTGCTTGTCTAGAAAATGCTTCTTGATTTCAGAATTGTGAGATATCTGGACCAAAGACGAGACAGAAACTCTCATTATTCTGCAGTGGGAACATGATCTTTACTTAATAACCCAGTGATTTTTGGCATGAGGTAAAAATGCTGAATTTCAACCCACACCAATATCATTTTAGCCAATTCCCCTCAAAAAAACACCCCCGTGCAACTGCTTTAGTGCGCCAGAAAGACACGATCCTCCTCATCAATAAGCTTGTGCATTTGAATGATTTTAACATGCATGATTTTTTTCAGAAATGAACACAGTCTGCTCTGCATGTGTATGTGTGTGTGTGTGTGTGTGTGTGTGAAATAGTGCAACGTTTGAAACTCAAGGGCCAATAGAAAGAGAGTGAGCAAGAGCAGCGGTGTGTGTGTGTGTGTGTGTGTGTGTGTGTTAGTGTGTTAGTTAGCTGTGTTTAGTGGCGCTGCTGATCCTCCTCACGAGTACGAGTGCAGACAGTCTTTGGAGCGGGACTGGATGTCCTGCAGCTCGCGCTCCTCCTTCAGTTTGATGTCCTGATACGAGTGTAAGTGACTGGCGTCCTTTAGATAAGCCCAGTTTGCAGAAAGGATCATTAGGAAATGGATCTGCAAGAGACGCCCGGCAGCAGGTTAACAACGCAGAGCACGGCTACACATTAACACACACACACACACAGACACACACAGACATGTACAGTTGAAGTCAGAATTATTTGCCCTCCTGTATTTTTTCCCCAATTTCTGTTTAACAGAGAGCAGATTTCTTCAACACATTTCTAATCATAATAGTGTTAATAGCTCATCTCTAATAACTGATTTATTTTCTCTTTGTCATGATATCAGCACATAATATTAGACTAGATATTCTTCAAGACACTAGTGTTCAGCTTTAAGTGACATTTAAAGGCTTAACTAGGTTAATTAGACCAGGGGTCCCCAAACTTTTTAGCCTGCCACTCCCAATATAACAACGCCAGTGACTCGTGACCCCCAATATTCCTTGAGGTGGTTATAAATATTAAATCTTGCACGCAGCGGCGAACATACCAACAGGCCCAAGTCTTTTCATCATTTAATCTTGGAGAACGCCACTCAGAGACCGTCCTCCATGTTCAGTTGTGGCCTGTATTTATTTTTACTGTATGCGAGGGCCATAAAGGTGTCCGAAAGTTGAACCTGGTGCCATAAGATCAATGTGCTGCATCTGATGCTGTTGCTGTGTCTTTAATATAACGTAATCACCCCCAGGGGTTGCAAAAAAAAAAAAAAAAAAAAATCGAAAGGATATTCTCTATTTCCACCTGGGTATTCTCATCCCGAGGCCCTCAGACCACATAGCACCACTGATTCGATCCAAGACCAGCGACGAGATGATCCCAAGGTTTCCATAATCCTGGACCAGGCCGTATCCTGAGCAGCTGCTGTAGTGGTCATGGAGGAGTGGAGAGCATGAGACTGATTCCTGTGACGCTCCAGGGACAGACGAGTCTTCGCTGAGGTCCAGCTTCCAGCCTAAACCACTGAGACTGCAGCTCTGCACAAGACGTTTGGCCAGCGGAGAAATGGTGGTGTCCATATGAGCCTGATTCTCGAGGTTTTTTTTTTTTATTTTCGCCAATGGGTGAAGTTTTTTCCTCGCCGCTGTCGCCACTGGCTTGCATTGTTCCGGACTTATAGAGCTGCGCATTGATGGATTTGCTCTTCAGTGTTTGGACTCTCAGTAGTGATTATTAACTCACACTGAACTGAACTGAACTGAACTTAAACACTAAAAACTGAACTACACTGTTTCAATTTACTGTAATCTTCTATGTGAAGCTGCTTTGACACAATCTACATTGTAAAAGCGCTATACAGTACAAATAAAGCTGAACTGAATTAATTTGATGGCTGTATATTTGCATGTTGTTTTTGAATTGTTTATCATTAACATGTTAACAATGTTACTATTAACTATGATTTTGTTCTTAAATGGATTATGGCTAAAATATGTAAATTCTAATAGTTTATTAAAATTAATTTGATTTTTGGAAATTGCCTAGCGAACCCCCCTCATTGTCCCACAACCCCTCGGGGGGATCCCAACCCCCACTTTGGGAACCACTGGTTACAGTTAGGGTAACTAGGCAAGTCATTGTATAACAGTGGTTTGTTCTGAGACAATCCAAAACAAATATTGCTGAAAGGGGCGAATAATATTAAGCTTAAAATTAAAAACTGATTTCATTCTAGCTAAAAATTAAACAAATAAGACTTTCTCCAGAAGAAAAAATATTATCAGACATACTGTGAAACTTTCCTTGCTCTGTTAAACATCATTTGGGAAATATGTGGAAAAGATAGCAAAAAAAGTAAAATAAAAAAATTCACAGGAGGGCAAATATTTCAACTGTACTATAACTGTACACACATCAAATGTTTGAAGTCAGGAAGATGTGTTAATGTTTTAAAAGAAGGCAATTCTGCTCTCTAAGAATGATCTGATTAAAATACAGGAAAATAGTGAAATAATATTACAAATTTCATTCATTCATTTTCCATCAACTTAAGCCAGCAACTATTCCAGCTGCAACCCAGTACTGGGACACACCCATACACACTCAATCTCACACACACACACACTCATACACTATGGCCAATTTAGTTCAATTCCCTATGGCGCATGTGTTTGGACTGTGGGGGAAACCAGAGCACCCGGAGGAAACCCACACCAACACAAGGAGAACATGCAAACTCCACACAGAAATGCCAACTGACCCAGCCGTGAACCAGCGACCTTCTTACTGTGAGGCCACAGTGCTAACCACTGAGCCACTGTGCTGCTACATCATAATAAGTCCTCATATTACACAGATTTCTGAAGGATCATGAACACTGAAGACTGGAGTAAAGATGCTATATAGTCTTCTTTGAATTAAAGGAATAAACAAAAGGTGAAACTACACTAAATAAGAAAATGTGTAATATTTCACAATTGAACTGTATTTATTGTATATTTCATCAAATGAATGCAGGATTGGTGAGCAGAATTGCCTTTTAAAACATTCACAAATCTTACCGTTTCCAAGCTTTTGACTGTATATACATACTTATAATATAAGGTTTACAAGGACTCCCCATAGGCGTAATGAATTTTGTGCTATAAAAAAATGCATATTATAATCCTTAACCTACATTATAAAAAAACTAATAAGTGTAATATATATTTTTGAATTATGAAGACACAATTATATCCTCATAACCCAGCTTAATAGAGTACAATTAAGTCATACCTATGTCTTTATATTAATTGTGTCCTCATAAACCATTTAAACAAGTATACACACACAAACACACACACACACATATATATATATATATATATATATATATATATATGCTCGTGTAAAGGAATAATTCACGCTTGCATGAAAACACACTAGCACTCATGTTGTTTCAAACCTGTATGCTTTTGTCTTTTACATGATGTCTTAATGTTGAGGTTTTTATACATATTCATATTATTTTATTATAATGAAACACATTGTACACATAGTATTATTATTATTGGTTTGGTTTTAAATGTAATGTTAGAATTAATATTTAGCAAATTTATATTCATTTAATATTTAAACATTATTTTAATATTACAAATAGTATTTCACTTCAGTTTTACTTTTCATTTAATCGTTCAATTTTCTTCAGCTTAGTCCCTTTATTAATCAGAGGCTGCCACAGCGGAATGAACCGCCAACTTATCCAGCATATGTTTTACATAGCAGATGCCCTTGCAGCTGCAACCCAACACTGGGAAACACCCATACACTTACATTCACACTCATATTCTACGGTCAGTTTAGTTCATCTATTCCCCTATAGCGCGTGTGTTTGGACTTGTGGGGAAACACCAACTGACCCGGCCGAGACTCGAACCAGTGACCTTCTTGCTTTGAGACCACAGTGCTAACCACTGCGCCAACATAAATTAATATTTTTTTAAAATCTTCAAATGTAGTCTAATTATAAAATAGATACTATTAAGTTTCATATTTCTTACATATTTAATTTAATATCACTAATCTGAATATTGATATTGTTTAATAATTTTACGGATGATGATATTTAGCATTTTGCAATTTTCTTTAACATTTTTTTTTTGGTGTTATTATGAAATAAATGCATATTTATGATGTTAAAATATTGATAAATATTATAAAAGAGCTATTCAATTTATTAAACTTTTATTTTGCAGAACCTTACTATACTAAATGTGTTAACAATACACTAAAATGCACAAAATTTTTAACTTTATATAAAAAGCTGATATTATATTTGGCATTTGCAACAAAATAAGTAAACGGTATCATAACTTTCATTAGTTTGTGTGCCGTGATTTTGGGTTACTCAAACTTTTCAGTCAGGCAGTGACTCCTAAAATAGCAACTCCAGTGACTCGCGAGCCCCACTATGCTCGGAGGTGGTTATAAGCATACAAATATTGCTCACAATAGTGCACAAACACACACACACACACACACATACACATACACCAATAGGAACTATATAAACATAAGCATATTGTCGACACTAAAAAGTGCCACCATATCTTTATTATAATCATTATTCATTTGTTTAATTAAAAATGAACATCACTTAATGAGAATGAGTACAATGTTTATAGCACAAGACTATTCTTGGTTTAATTTTGGAGACTTTTAGCCAGTTGGAGATCATCCTCCTTGTTCAGTCGTGGCCTTAATTTTAAATGTATGCGAGTGTTATAAAGTTTATTATTGTACCGCAAAATCAATTCTGCCGCAACTAACGCTATTGCTGTGATGTTAATCTAGCATAGTAACCCCAGGGGTCACAAATAATATATAATGATTGATAAAAAATGACACCTCTAATAGTTTAATAGAACATATGAGATTTTTGGAAATCACCAAGCAATCCCCCATCATTGTCTCGCGACCCCCACTTTGAGAACCACTGCCGTTAATCACTAAAAATAAAAATGATATTCACTATATGCAATTAAACATAATATATAAAGTTATCTGCACAATAATTAACAAAAACTGAAATTTTACGAATTTTATTATTATTATTTTTTAATTTTCAAAAAAAATTTTTTTTACATATTTAAAATATTCACATGATAATGTCACGCCTTTTAGTGTTTGACAGCAAAGCCATATGCATGTGCGAAACAACATGACGAGTGTGTTTACTTATTCCTTCAGCACACACACACACACACCTGCAGACAGACAGAGATTCATTATAAGACATGTTTAATGAGCATTAATAAACAGAAGAGCTCGGGGTGTGAAGAGGAAGAGCTGAAGCAAAGCTGGGGTTAGTAAAACACACATACACTGCATCTGGGCTGAAAAAACACACATGCTGCAAGTGTGTTGAATGCTTGATTCTGATTGGCTGATGATCACCCTAAGGTAGGGATGTCTAAACTCGGTCCTGGAGGGCCGGTGTCCTGCAAAGTTTAGTTCCAACCCTAATCAGACACACCTGGGCTAGCTAATCAAGCTCTTACTAGGCTTTCTAGAAAGATCTTTGCAGGTGTGTTGAGGCAAGCTGGAGCTAAAATCTGCAGGATGTCAGCC